AGGCCCCTCAAGAGGCCCCAGGAGACCCCAGACGTCCAAGGACGCCCCCAAGACGCTTCGCGTCACCAATTTCTTCTCGCAACGATTCCTGGGTCTGTGACTCGACAGAACCTAAGCGCGCGCGAAGCGCGCGCGTGGTTCTAGTGACGGGATTATCCCCTCTTCCTCATGTCATCTGCGGCGCCTACTGACCATGATATAGTATCGGAACATCTTCCAGGGATTATGAATATCCAGGCAAAAGACTGGAAGAGGAGGAGGAGGCAGAGGAAGAGGCGAAAAAAGAGGAGGATTATGATGAGGAGGAGGACAACGGCGAGCTAGGGGTCTTCTTGGGGAGTCTTGGGAGTCTCTTGGCGGTCCCGGGGATCCTCTTTCTTACTTCGGGGAGCATCTTGGGGCCTCTAGGGGATCTCTTGGGATCCTCTTGGAAGCCTCTCTTGGGGTGCCTCTTGGGGCCTCCTTGGCGCTTCTTTGGGCCCTCGTGGGGCTCTCTTGGGAAGCTCGGGGACGCTCTCGGAGACACTTTCGAGGACATCGAGTAAAGAAGGGATGCATTTCAATTGGCCTTTCAGAAGGACATAGTCCCCTCTTGGAGCGCTCTTGGAGCGCTCTTGGGCGCTCATGGGGCCGTCTTGGGGTTCTCTCAGGCCTCTTGGGGCTCTCTGGAACTCTCTTGGAACTGTTTTGAGGCATCGGAAGGCCATCGGACGCAAAAGTGCGATAATGCAACATTCATACAGATTCCTTAGGTTTTTGACAGTTTTTGGCCTCTTCGCACCCTCTGGGCGTCCTCCGTGAAACGCTCCGTGGCCATTTGAAACAGTCTTGGAACGGTCTTGGGGCATCTTTGAGCACCTTGGGGCCATCTTGAGGCATCTTGGGCTATCTTGTGCCATCCTGGAGGTCATCTTGGGCTTTCTGAGGCTCTGACCGCTCGCGGGGCGTCCCGTCCAGGTCCAGGGGAGGGGGTCGGGGGAGAGGTCAAAACACCCTCCTAGATAGCAAGCCGTCTGGCTCACTCCCGCCCGCACTCCCAACACATAGGTAACACCCGAGCCTCATCATGTTCAGCTCTCGTCTATGGGTGGGCAGCTACTGGGAACCAGCACCGACTCCATGTGTGCGACGGTGGGGCCCGAGCGTGCCAGGCACGTCTGGTGTACCAGATGCGCCACGTGTCCCACGTGCGCCAGGCGTGCTGCATGCTCCAGCCGCGCCGTGTGCGCCACGTTCGGGGCACGTGCAGAATGGGTCAGGTGCGCCTGCGCACGTGATAGTACACATCGGGAAACATGTCGGTCCCCACCATCCTTGTCGAAAACCAACGCCCATCATTGTGTCTGGTGGGCCTGCGCGCAGTAGGCCATACGCCACCACCCCCTCCGTCCCTGTCAATCGCCGCCACCACGCGCCGTCCACAGTGATCGCGGGGTGGCTGCGCATGATCCAGATTTATCCGCGACGCGCATTTTGTATACTTGTTGATCGGGATGGTGGCCTTGCGCACAGCAGACAGTATGCTGACACCCCTGGGACAGGGATGGTGGGAGGGGGGTGAGCATGGTGTCCTTGTTGTTCCTGGTTGGCTGCCGGTCGCCTGGGGGAGGGGGTGTATACTAACGGGAAGCAGCGATGACGAACCCTTCACCGAAGGGGAATAATTGGGGTTGGGAGAGGAGCCTGTCTAAACCACCTACTCCCAGAGGGCTGGTGGGATTGTCCTGGCGAAGGACCCAGTCATATGCAATTGTGAATACCGCAGGGCAGGTAGGACGAAGGAGGGGGAGCTCCTTATGGGGCCACGAGGCGTGTGAGGGGATGTCAACATGGGTGTGTGCGGAGGGCGCATGTAGACACCGCCGCCAAGGCCTTTGGTGGAGCTCACGATGGGGCCACGAAACGCTGTGCTGGGTGGCGGAGGGCGCATGTGATCACAACCGCTGGGGCCTTCGGTGGGGCTCCCGATGTGGCCACACAGCGCCGTATTGGGTGGCGGGGAGCGCATGTGATCACAGCCTCTGGGGCCTTCGGTGGAGCTCCCTGTGGTGCCACGAAACGCCGTGCTGGGTGGCGGGGGACGCATGTGATCACAGCAAGTGGGGCCTTCGGTGGAGCCCCGTATGGGGCCGAAAAACGCTGTACTTGGTGGCGGGGGGACGCATGTGATCACAGCCAGTGGGGCTTTCGGTGGAGCTCCCTATGGGGCCACGAAGCGCCGTGTTGGGTGGCGGAGGGCGCATGCGATCACAACCCGTGTGGCCTTCGGTGGAATTCCCCATGGGGCCAGGAAGCGCCGTACTGGGTGGCGGAGGGCGCATCTGATCAGAGCCAGTGGCTCCTTCGGTGGAGCCCCGTATGGGGCCGAAAAACGCTGTAGTTGGTGGCGGGGGACGCATGTGATCACAGCCTCTGGGGCTTTCGGTGGAGCTCCCTATGGTGCCACGATGCGCCGTGTTGGGTGGCGAAGGGCGCATGCGATCACAACCCGTGTGGCCTTCGGTGGAATTCCCCATGGGGCCAGGAAGCGCCGTGTTGGGTGGCGCGGGGCGCATGTGGTTAAAGCCACTGGGGCCTTCGGTAGAGCTCCCTGTGGGGCCACGAAACGCCGTGCTGGGTGGCGGGGGACGCATGTGATCACAGCCTCTGGGGCTTTCGGTGGAGCTCCCTATGGTGCCACGAAGCGCCGTGTTGGGTGGCGGAGGGCGCATGTGATCACAGCCAGTGGGGCCTTCGGTGGAACTCCCTGTGGGGCCACGGCACGCCGTACTGGGTGGCGGAGGGCGCATGCGATCACAGCCAGTGGGGCCTTCGGTGGAGCTCCCTATGGGGCCATGCAGCGCGATACTGGGTGGCGGGGGACGCACGTGATCACAACCACTTGGGTCTTCGGTGGAACGTCCTATGGGACCACGACGCGCCTTCCTGACTGGCGGGGTGGCACATGGCCGCTGGGGCCTTCGGTGGAGTTCCCTATGAGGCCACATCGGTGGAGCTCCCTATGTGGCCACGGCACGCCGAACTGGGTCGCGGGGGACGCATGTGATCACAGCCGCTGGGGCCGTCTGTGGAGTTCCGCATGGGGCCACGAATCGTTGCGTTGGGTGCACTAAAACGGTGGACATGCAGATGGCAGAGGCACGGGTGGGATGAGGAGGAGGAGGGAGAGGAACGAAGAGAGAAAGGAAGCGCGGGGCGCTGTCTCTTCGAAATGGGGACCCATCACCGCCGGATGGTTGGGGAAACATTCGCCTGGCAAAGGACCCGACCATATGCAGTTGTGGGTACAGTCGTTGTACGCACCGCATTCGGTGCAGCATTCTATGGGGCGACGAAACGCGTGAGGGGTTTGACAAAGCGGATGCGGTGGGCGCATGCTGGCGCTGGCATTTGGGCCTTCGGTGGGGCTCCCTATTGGGCCACGAAGCGTGTGAGGGGTTTGCCAACATGGGCGCGGTGGGCGCATGCGAGCGCTTGCATCTGGGCCGTCGGTGGAGCTCCCCATGGGACCACAAAGCGTGTGAGTGGTGTGCTAAAATGGGTGCGGTGGGTGCATGCGAGCACTGGCATTTGGCTCTTCGGTGGAGCTCCCTACGGGGCCACGAAGCGTGTGAGGGGTGTGTCAAAGTGGGTGCGGTGGGCGCATGCAAACGCTGGCATGTGGGCCTCTGGTGGAGCTCCCTATGGGGCCACGCATCGCGTGATGGTTTTGTCCAAAATGAGCGCGGTGGGAGCATGCGATCGCAGACATTTGGGCCTTCGGTGGGGCCATATAATTTGGCCACGAAGCGTGTGAGGTGTGTGTGTGTGTGCCAAAAAGGGCGCGGTGGGCGCATCTAGCGCTGGCATCTAGGCCTTCATTGGAGCTCCCCATGGGGCCACGAAGCGCGTGAGGGGTGTACCCAAATGCGTGCGGTGGCCGTATTTGAGCGCTGGCATGGGCCTTCGGTGGAGCTCCCTATGGGGCCATGAGGCGTGTGAGGTGTGCCAAAGTAGGTGCGGTGGCCGCATGCGAGAGCTGGCATCTGGGCCTTCGGTGGGGCTCCCTCTGGGGCCACGACGCGCATGAGGGGTGTGCCAAAGTCGGTGCGTGCGTGCGCTGGCAGTTGGGCCTTCGGTGGAGCTCCCTATGGGGCCACGAAGCCTTTGATGGGTATGCCAAAATGGGTGCGGTGGCCGCATGCGAGAGCTGGCATTCGGGCCTTTGGTGGAGCTCCCTATGGGTCTACGAAGCGTGTGAGGGGTGTGCCCAAATGGGTTCGGTGTCGCATGCGAGCGCTGGCATGTGGGCCTCTGGTGGAGCTCCCTATGGGGCCACGAAGCGTGTGAGGGGTGTGCGAAAATTGGCGCGGTTGGCGCATGCGAGCGCAGACATTTGGGCCTTTGGTGGAGCTCCCTTCTGGGGCCACGGAGCGAGTGAGAGGTGTTCCAGAGTGGGTGCAGTGGCTGAATGCAAGCGCTGGCATTTGGGCCTTCGGTGAAATTTTCTATGGGGCCATGAAGCGTGTGAGCGGTATGCCAAAGTGGGTGCGGTGGCCGTATTTGAGCGCTGGCATTTAGGCCTTCGGTGGTGCTCCCTCTGGGGCCACGAAGCGTGTGAGGGGTGTGCCAAAGTGGGTGCGGTGGCGCTGGCATCTGGGCCTTCGGTGGAGCTCCCTATAGGGCCAACAAGTTCGTGAGCGGTGTGCCAAAATGGGCGCGGTGGCCGCGTGCGAGCGCTGGCCCTTGGGCCTTCGGTGGAGCTCTCTATGGGGCCACGAAGCGTGTGCGGGCGGGCCAAATTTAGGGGGGTGACGGGAGGAGGGAGGAGCGGGAGGAGGGAGGAGCGGGTGGAGGAGGAGGAGGAAGAGCAGGAGGAGGAGGAGGAGGAGGCGAGGCGGAGACGCGGGGATCTCTCTTCAAAACGAGGATCCAACACCACAGGATAGTTGGGAACAAGACGTCGGACGCTTGGGGGTCTGGTCGGTCCGCCGAGTTCATCTGCTCCAGCCTTGCGCGAGGATGACGCGGAGCTGGAGGACGACTTTTCCGCCAGGCTGAGGGAGCTCCTGGACGAGGTCCCAGGGCTCATTTCGATTTCTCCGACTCGGTTCGATTCGATTTCGATCGATTCCGAGTCCGATTCGATTCGACTTCGGATCCCGATTTGAATGTCGATTTCTCAAGACTACAAGCTTTGTAGCCTGCCGATTTTCGCAGATTCGACTTCTCCCGACTTCGCTGCCGATTTCGGCCGATTCGATTCATTTTGATCCCCGATCCAACTTATCGATTCGTTTCCGGGCTCTCCTGAGGTCCCCTGCGACTGGGGCGCCCTCTCCCTGAAGACCCGCTGCCCCTACGGCGCGTGCGTGTCGCCCCACCTCACGCGCGTGTGGCCCGACCGGAACGAGCCCGAGGGGAAGTGCAACCACGGCGTGAACTACGGCTTCTACGCGATGCTCTACCGCAAGGAGGCGCTCCCGCGCATCACCGCGGAGCTCGATGAAGAAGCAATGGTGTAAGCATACACTTTCGGAGCTCCGCGTGTGTTTCCTGGATCGGTGCCAACCCAGGAAACCTGCACGGAGCTGCGAAAGAGTGTGCTTGTCCAGTTTCAGTATTCTAGGAATTGCGCAAGACGGTGTGGCAGCGCGACCGGCCGCGGTGCCTGGACATCGACGTGGCGCTCGCGTCCATATCGCATCGCATACCCTACTACGCGGTGCCCTCTCTGCAGCTGCCCGGCCTGGTGCACGAGGGTAACCAGGGCTCCACGAGGTACCAGAACAACATGAAGAAGCTGAGTCAGACCGACCGCTTGAAAGATGCGCAGGCGGTGACGGAGGGCTGATTTGGCAGATCTTAGAAAGGTGATTTGACGCGATTCGGCAGGTTAGCAGGCTAGAATTTTCAAGCCTTGATTGTGTTCTTGCTGTACTTGCGTGAGTGTTACGTGCACGCGCGCGCGCGTTTGTGTGTGTGTGTGTGTGGTGTGTGTGTGTGTGTGTTCCCCGTAGTCATTTTGTCTCAAGCCACTTTGGCTCGAGGGGAGCCGCTGTGTCCGCCGCCACGTGGCCAGAGTACATCTAGCTCGAAGTCCTAGTAGGCACTCGAGATCTCGTGTATCATCTAGTAAGGCCGCTGCCCATCCCTGTCTGAATCCGGTGGCGCCGCTTCCTTCCTGACAATCGCCCAGCGCAGGATATGTCGCCTGCGGCCGCTCCCTCTGTGCCCCCGCGATCCTGCGCGCCCCTCTCGAGGTCCCCACTGGTGAGGGCGCGGCCCTTCCTCCCCCAGCCCGCCCCGACCAAGCCGCCCTCCGAGGACGAGCTTCCTTCGGACGAGGAGTATGCGGTCCAGGTCCGCTTGCCCCCGCAGGGCTCCCGAGAAGGGCGCCGCGGCCGCGCGCCTCGACCTGGCGGCGCGGGGCGTGGGCGACTGGCCCGATCCAGAGGCTCTGGAGTGGGCTAGGGCCCCTTCTCCACCCAGCGCTGGCGCTCGCGACCGCGCTGAGCCGCCGTGGAGGACGTCTCCCCCGGCCCTCCCGCCGACGCTGTGCCCATGTCCCACCTCCAAGGCCTGCTGCTGAGCCAGATTCCCTGGGGTGACCAGGTACGCGTTGCCAAGCGCTTCCAGGCCCATGGTCACCTGCAGACCGCACTCGGGCGTCGCGATCGGCGCCCAGGCCCACACCCCCACCTCCCCGCGTATGCTGCCGCTGTCGCTGCCGGATGGGAATCCAGAGGGCTTGAAGATTGGCGCGCGCTCTCCACAGCTGATCGGTGCGACCTCGGTTTTCGACTGGTGCACCCTCAGTTCAAGCTCGGCATCCAGAACCGATTGTTGGTCGTAGCGCCGCCTGATGCGACCTCTCAGGCGGCGAGCGGTGTCCGTGCCGAAGCCCCACCCGGCACTGCGGCTAAGTCGCCTGCCCCAGTCGCAAAGAGGGTTGGGTGGGCTAACCGAGTCGCGTCCGCACGGCCTGCCAAGGTCGAACGGTTTTTCTCCCCCATTGGCGCCCCGCGCCCCAAGCAGGCCGCAGCAGGCGGGGCCAAGGCGGCGTCGGCTGCCACTCGCCAGAGGTACGGCAGGATCCGTCCGCCAGGGCGCGCGACGCACCGTTCGCCCCGCCGCCGCCACTGCGACGTTGCAGGCAGTCGCGGTCTCGTGAACGCCCGAGGCCAGGCCCGTGCAGCAGCTCTGGCCCGCACCGTCCAGAAGGCCCGCTGGCCATCGGATGCTGCCAGGGGGGCCGCGCCGGCACTCTGGGCGACCCATGCCCCCTCCTGGCAAGGCTGGAGGTCCTCCTGGCAAGGCTGGAGACCATCCCTTCCGAAGTCCGCTTCCCAGCGCGCTGGTCTTCCGCCTGCGCGAGGGCGGTCGCGCGACTATAATTACCAGTCCACTCGTAGGCGCGCCTGCCGGGCACCTCTCCCCTGCTGACCAGGGGGCGCCCTCCCTAGCCCGGGTTCGGCAAGCTCGGGGTGCCGCTCCGCAGGGACCGTCGGCGCGCGTCGCCCCAGCGTCCTCGCGAACGCGTCAGCAGGCAGTGCACCCTTCGCCAAGCGGCGTGCGCCCACCCCTCCTGCGCCCGTCCCGCCCTCCGCCAAGCGGCGCGCGCCCACCCCTCCTGCGCCCGTCCCCACTCCTGGGAGCCCAGCTTTGGATTCCTCCCGACTGGATCTCATGGCTCGGCTGGACGCCATGCGAGCCACTGAAGCCCTGGCTGCAGCTCGAGCTGCTCTCGCATGCAATGGTCAGCCCCGCATGCACACTCTGAAGAGCAGCTCAGCACTTTTGTCCTGAGCGCCCCTGTGGATTGGGGGCCACCGCGCGCGCCCCTGGCTTCAGTCGACGAGCCAAGCTCGCCAAAGCGTGGTCCCTTGCGGGACCTGTCTCAGCCGGGGCGCCCACACCATCGCTGTCCTGTGCGTTGGTTCGCTCTCCGCCCACGCCAGTCTCGCCTGTCTTTGCACTGGCGCCGTCGGTGGAGGACGGCCCCACACTCGTGCCGTGTTCCACCTCGGCCTCTCCCTTGCCCGGGGCCTCGCCCCCGCGTCTGCAGGGGTGGCGTGCCTGCTCTGTTGTCCTCTTTGCTTCTCTTGTCTTTCCGTTGCTTCCGCGTGCCTGAGCCCACGGCCGCCCACACTGGCCCGCACCGGCTGACCTCCTCGCCTCCCATTTTTGCAGATGCGTGCTGCCACCCTGGCCCCGGCCGTCATTGCCGTCTCTCGTCGCCCGTCGTACTGCACCTCTGCTTGTCCGGGCTTTGCCCCTCCACCCACTGCACCTTCGCTGTCCACGCCCAGATCTGCGTATGGCATTGTTGACCCAAGCTGGGTCCCTGCTCGCTCTGAGCGGCCCGCCGCGCGCGCCCGCCCGCCCGTTTGGTGACTCTCTCCGCCTCGGCGCTGCGCGCGATGCCGCGACCGCCCAAAAGCGTGTGTGTGTATGTATGTATGTATGTATGTATGTATGTATGCATGCATGCATGCATGCATGCATGCATTCATGCATGTATGTATGTATGTAGGTATGCATGTATGTTATGTAATGTAATGTAATGCAATGCAATGCAATGGAATGGGATGTACTGTACTGTAATGTAATGTAATGTAATGTAATGTAATGTAATGTAATGTAATGTAATGTAATGTAATGTAATGTAATGTAATGTATGTATGTATGTATGTATGAATGTATGTATGTATGCATGTATGCATGCATGCATGTATGCATGTATGCATGTATGCATGTATGTATGTATGTGTGTGTATGTATGTACGTACGTACGTACGTATGTATGTATGTATGTATGTATGTATGTATGTATGTATGTATGTATGTATGTATATATGCATGCATGCATGCATGCATGCATGCATGCATGTATGTATGTATGTATGTATGTATGTATGCATGTATGTATGTATGTGTGTATGTATGTATGTATGTATGTATGTATGTATGCATGTATGTATGTATGTATGGCATGCATGCATGCATGCATGCATGCATGTATGTATGTAATGTATGCAATGTAATGTAATGTAATGTAATGTAATGTAATGTAATGTAATGTAATGTAATGTAATGTAATGTAATGTAATGTATGTATGTATGTATGTATGTATGTATGTATGTATGTATGTATGGCATGCATGCATGCATGCATGCATGCATGTATGTATGTATGTATGTATGCATGCATGCATGTAATGTAATGTAATGTAATGTAATGTAATGTAATGTAATGTAATGTAATGTAATGTAATGTAATGTAAAGTAATGTAATGTAATGTAATGTAATGTAATGTAATGTAATGTATGTATGCATGTATGCATGCATGCATGCATGCATGCATGTATGTATGTATGCATGTATGTATGTATGTATGTATGCATGCATGTATGTATGTATGTATGTGTATGTGTGTATGTATGTATGTATGTATGTATGTATGTATGTATGTATGTATGTATGTATGTATTTGCGTGTATGTTTGTCAGTGTTTCTTTGATTTCCAGCCGTTCAATACAGCCGCCAGGCGTTCCAATATGGCGCCAGGAGGCTCGAGTATGGTATTTGCGAGCGACAAAGAGGCCCTGAAGAGAGCCCAAGGACAGTTCGAACGCCTCCAAGACGGTTCAAGATGATCAACAACGGCTGCGAAGCGGTTCTTACGACGGGCCCAGGGGTCCCGAATATTATTTCGGAGAGGCCCCCGCGAGAGGCAACAATGCATCTTCTTCTGTACATGCCTGAAGAATTATACAATGCTTACGTTCTCGGTCGTCAGAGCGCCCACGACGGCCCAAGAGGTCGCCCCGAGCTGCCTAGAAGAGCCTCATGATTGTTCCGAAAATGACCCACGCCGGCCCAGTAGGGGCCCAGCCGCAAGAGGCGGAAACGGGGATGGGGCCAAGGCGCAGTTACTGGTTTCATGCGAGGTCGACAATATAGCAGCCTTCGGCCTAACCCGCCACCGTGCCTGGGTCGTGTTACAGAGTCCTTGGACGCCTCATGTAATCTTTTGGGGCATCTTGGAGGCCGCTGATGGGCATTTCGGGGTCCACTTGGGACTTGTGGGATCACGTAGGAGGGGTTGGCTTCCAGCGATGCGGCAGTGTCGCGCGTGTTGGGCCGTTCCTGGGGCCGTGTTAGGGGTCTTTTGGGCGAGTCTTGGAGGCCTCTTGGACCGTTTTGGGAGCTCTTTGGGGGTTTAGGCTCTTCTGCTGCCAAATCGGCAAGAATGCTTGAATCTCACACGTTAGCCAGCGTGGACCCCAAACAGTTAGGTATTGCACTGTGCAGGTGGCATATATGTGGAGTGGGCACTGTGGCGTTAGCTCTGTCGTGTAAGCTGTGCGGAGTGAGCCACGTGATGCTAGCCATGTATTGTAAACTATGTGGCGTGAGCCGCACGGTGTTAGCTACGTTGTGTAAGCTATAGGGTGTCAGTTATGTTGTATAAGCTATGCGATGTGCCATGTGGTGTGAGCTATGCTGTGTAAGCAAACTCTAAAGTGAGCTGGGACCAGACCGAGAGATGAGCGTTTGTCCGCGGCCGTTTGTGTTCAAGCGGCCGGCCGCCAACATATGATTGCGCCTCATTGCGAGGCATATTTTTCGCCATCGAGACCGAAAGCATCCTTCGCTGGGACTGTCGTTACTACCACACAACAGAGCAGGAGCTGTGCTTCGCCTAAGGCGTAGCTTCTGGACGGGCCTACCGGCCTCGTTCAGACTAGCTATGTGGGTGGTCTGAACTGTGCGGTGTGGGCTGTGTTGTGCAGGCTGTGTTGCCCGCCCTGGGCACGGGGCGCCAATGAGGCGCCTACGGGCGGGCGCTGGGTGAAACCTCCGCAGACCCGCTCAGGGCACGGGGCGCCCGCGAGGCGCCAGCGAGGCGAAGCCTTGGCGGATCCACCCAGGGCGCGGCGCGCCTACGAGCGCCAACGAGGCACCGACGGGCGGGCACGGGGCGCCTTGCGAGGCGAAACCTCGGCGGACCCGTGCAACTACTCGAGCATTCGAAGTGAGACTCCTAAGTGCAAGCGCTGTTTGGGGAACACATGGATTTGTGCGATTTTGGCCTCCAAGACGGCCCGAGAGTGCCCCGAGAGCGCCAGGGGTAGCCAAGGTAGGGATGGCACCCCCGAGAGGACTCCAGTTAACCATAGTGGCGCCATGATCGTCCGAAACGCTCCAGGGAAGGGGCGGGGGCGCCCCCCCCTCGGCTTTCTTAGGACCCCTTCCAGTCTTCTTTCTGGGGAAAGGGATCGAGGGGAACGGGCTTCTTGTTGACGCGATCACACTTTGGCTGGTGGAATGGCCCAGGGCGTCACGGGCAAGGAGGAAAGCTTCGGATGGGCAAAAAGCCCTGGCACATGCCGACCGGGTCGGTGGTCCTGTAGCGCCGACCTCCAGGTTGGGATTGCTGCCGGTTTGGCTTTCTTCGTTGATTGGAAATGGTGCCAGTTGATTGGAACTGGTTCCACATCCTCCCCCCTCAGACAAGATTTTGGATTTCCAGTGTGGAGGAGCAGGGGAATAGAACAGCCAAACACGTAGTACGTACGTCACCCAACCAGGGTTGGTGGGCCAGTGGATGCAAACAGCCAAGGTCGAAACGATTTGGCAGATTGGCGTGCGTGCGTGTGGTTGGTCTGGCTGGCTTTTGCGTGGGAGGAGCGCCGCACCCGCTTTGGCAAATACTGGTGAAGAAGTCTTCGGGCCGTTTCGGGGTGGTCTTGGAAAACTCTTCGGGCCGTCTTGCTACCCTGCGGACGTTTCTCGTACTTTGTGAAGACAGCATCAAGCGGTCCGAGGGCCATCTGGAGTCTAGAGGCCTTCTGGGAGGCGCTTTGCGCTTTCAAGGAGTACGATCGACACATCGAAAGCTTGATCTTTGAACATTGGTCGTGACCGCCCAAGATCATTTCAGGGGCCTTAAGGAGCCTTTGAAGGCCAGTCGGGGGCCACTTGGAGTTTGATCCGTCTTTTGAGACCTTCTCATGGGCTCTTAGGGGTCGTTCTGGAGCTGCCCTGGGCTGTCTTGGAGCCGTCCTGAGCTAGTCCTGATCCTTGTTCGAGCCGCATTGGAGCGGTTCGCCGCTGCCATGGGCCGATGGGAGGCCGTATCGAGTTTGTCAGGTTGGTCTGTGCCCACGCAAGTCGACCAGACTCGCAGAGACTGTTTAGTGAATCAGGCCTCTCGAACCATCTTCTTGGGTGGCGTCGCTCGCGGCGGGTTTGTTCGAAAGTAGTGCCGACGCGGAGATCTAGCGCTTCGTTGGACCAGAAAATCGGCGAATTGTGAGGGTCTGAAGACATACAGTTTCCAGCTTTTGGTGCGCCGTTGGCCCGTCTCGCTGGCGAAATGCCTTTTCGAGTCTCCAGAGCGCCCCGTTCTTGAGCAGCGCCCGATGCGCGCCCCTTTGGGTAGCGTCCTCCTTCGCTGTTGTCCTCCTCCTTCGAGTGTTGCGTCTCCTCGCACGCTCTCCGCCGCGGTTTGTCTGCTTCAGAGCTTTGAGGCTTTTTTCCCTCGGCCATCGCAGCGCATGTGGCGTTTGTTGACGCACGCGCAGGGGAGTATCCCCCCTGGACGCCAATGCTCCCTGGCTGTATAGCGTTCCGAATTCAGTCGGCCCGTACATATTGGGTTGGTCATGCGCTGGTCTTGAAGCTATGAGTTTCCCAGGCTTGCGGTTCTGGTGAGACTTGTTGATGCGAGCAGTCATGCTGGGTGATTCTTCAGGAAGTGGCCTTTCATGTTCTGAGAGCTTGTAGTCCCGGTTGAAGGTCCCAACGGAGAGCCAAAACAGATTCCACGGCTCGAGCGAATGCGGCTTGAGCCGAACGGCGCCTTTCGCAGCATTGCCGAGTCCCAGCATCGTAGGTGGGGGACACAGAAATGGGGCACGCACAAGCTTGCTCCTCGTCTTCGTTGTCGTCCCTCCTCTCCTTTTCGGGGCAGTTGGTGTCTTGGCTCGGGTACACGAGCCACGAATATTGCAGTAATGCGTCGTCGCCACCATTTGTAGCCAAAAGTGCTGGCATTGCTCTAGCCCTCGCTACTGCCGTCTTCATATCAATCTACGTTTTCATGCAATGGCTGAGGCAGCCATCGCGGCCCTCTTGGGTGTCAGTCACTGCTGCGGTTATCTTCCTTTGCAACACCATGTGTAGTTTCCATCTTCGGTACTGCCTTGTGATCGCTGCCGAAGCCTGCCAATGCGGCGAGATATTTACTCGTGCCTCGCCTTCGTTGTCGTCGTCTTTTTTGTTGCCTGCCTCACAGATCGTTCGCGCATCCCCTGCGCCATGCGGCGCGGCTTCTGCCGTGTATCTTCTGCTGTCGCCGTCACTCAGAGGAGCCAGAGGTCATGATAATGATACGTTCCAAGGTTCTCAAAACTTTTCGCATTTCTAAGAGTTCCAACTGTTCCGCACGGGCTGCCGACACGAGGGCCGCCAGATCATCCGAAATTCCTGGGGCGTATCCTGAACCAAGTTTTCCATGACATTATTCCCGTCATAATCACTGATGCTGCCATCACCGTAGTGCTGTCACCGTTGTCACGTCCATCGCCACGAGGATGACCGCCGCGAAGGGCCTGCGACCCGTCTGGGGAGTCTTCGTTGCCTCTCCCGCAGGAGGAGCAGCAGCGGGAGGAGGTTGAGCTTTGAGAGGGGAAGGACCCACCGCCACCAGGCCTTCACAGGCACCACCTGGGCCTAGATCTTCCAGCACTGAGAGCAAGCAACATGTCTCACCCGCCGATCGGCGCGGTGCAACTGCACCGCTGTGGCATGCCGCTCCCCCTTGACCGGGGCCAGCCTTCATGGCTGAACGGGGCGCGAATCGAGTCTGGTCGAACCTGGGCCTAGGTCTGGGCCTAGGTCTGGGCCTAGGTCTGGGCCTAGGTCTGGGTCTAGGCAGGGCAGGGAAACCGCGATATCCACTAAGGATCTGAATCCAAGCTTGACCCATGGAGACGTTTTGCGGTGGATGCCGTGGACGTCCGGCGATAATGGGCGTTACTGCGGGGGGGGGGGAAGATGGGGTCACTAACGTCACAGCTGGAGCGATGTGAAGCGATCTGCGGGGGAGGGCGAGGACGGCCCTTCAGATTGCTCTCGTGAGGTTATCAGGGGGAGGGCGGGGACGGCCCTCGGAACGGCTACTCTCCTGGAGGTCTTTGGAGGTGTTCCCGAAGGTCTTCGTATGGTCCCAAACGAGGCAAAATGAGCAACAGATTTCAACAATCTTGAGTCCTTGATCCTCGATCGTCATCGATCGTCGAACCTCGCCGTGTTCTTTTATCGAACGGGTCTGCCGATCCCACTGATGCAACGCCAAAAACACGAGGAGGAGGAGGAGGAGGACGAGGAGGAGGGAGAGCAGAACGGGGAGGACGAGGACGATGACGAGGACGACGAGGAGGACGACAATGAGGATCGCCCAGGAGGATGAGGAGGAGAACGAGGAGGCGGCGGCGGTGGCGTCGACGAGGACGGCAACCTCCCCCGCGAGGTACGCTCCTCCAGAGTCCCAGGGATTGGCAGGGACGGCCAATCAGAACACGACTTCTCGACCCCCGACCCAAAACAGACGCCCTGCCCCGCCAGGTACGTAATTACCCTTGACCCTCGATCCCACCTGCCGCCGCCTCCGCCGTCGCTGGTGTCGCCGTCGCCGCCTCCACCGTTGCCGCTGTCGACGTCGCGCCGCCGTCGCCGTCGCTGCCACCGCCGTCCGTCGCCGTCGCCGCCGCCGCCGTCCGTCGCGGTCGATCATCAGTCGTCGGTTGTCGGTCATCGGTCGTCGGTGGTCGGGCGTCGTTCGTCGGTCGTTGGTCGTCGATCGGCAATCGTCTGTCGTCGGCCGTCGGCTGTCGGGCGTACGTCGTCGTCGTTGGTCGTCGGTCATCGAGTGCCTATTGTCGTCATCGTCGATGCCGTTGGCGAGGTGCACTCCCAGGACTCCCAGGCGCGCAAGCGGCGCCATAGGGGCCGCAGCGGCGCCAGCGGCGCAGGCAGTGCCAACGGCGGGGCGCCGGCGGCGCTGCTGTCGCAGGGGCCGAGCAGGCGCCTTTCGCCGTCGTCGTCGTCGTCGTCGTCGTCGTCGTCGTCGTCGTCGTCGTCGTCGTCGAGCTTTGCATTCTTGCGTAACCGTCGGTCCTTCGGAGGCTCTCGAGTTGCCTTTGACATTCAAGCGCTTTGGGAGGTTGAGGATGGGACGGAGGCTTTCGGAGGTCTCGGGCGGTTTCTGGAACGCTCTACCGCTCTGGTGGAGGTGTATGAGGGGAAGTAATGAGGCGCACGTGGAGGCGGAGGAGGTGAAGGAAACTGAGTACGAGGAAGGTGAGGAGGATGAGGAGGAGGAGGATGAGGAGGAGGAATAGCAGGAAGAGGATGAGGGCGAGGAGGGGGAGGAGGAGGAGGAGGAGGAGGAGGAGGAGGAGGAGGAGGAACATGAGGAGGAGGAGAAGGAGGAGGAGGAGGAGGAGTAGGAGGAGGGAGGAGGTGACAATATTATAGGAGCCTTTTCCCTCGAGGGAAATAGAAGTTGAGCCAAGCACCGAGGGTACCGGACAACCATGTAACACAGTCAAGAGCGTATTGGGCAACCTGAACAGCACCCCTACTGCTCACCCAGTCGGAGCGCCATAAACTAACACCCTACCTCGGCCGATCAGCCGACTACGGAGACGGGTGAGGTAGAACGGGCAAACACGACAGGTTAACATACAATTGTGGTAACATAAGCTATCTAGTGGCCTTCGGTCCATCCCGCCACGGTGCCTGGGTTGTGGGTTAGAGGCATTTTGGATGTTCTTTGGGATATTGTGGGAGGCTTCTCGGGGGTCTCTTGGAGGCAGTTTTGAGGCCTCCTGAGGGCCGTTTAGGGAGCTTTGTGGGGCCGCTTTTTGGGCCTCCTGGGGGCTCCGTGGGTCCTCTTGGGGGCCTCTCTTTGGGCCTCTTGGGGCCTCCGGGGGGAAGGGAGGGGGCGGACGGCTCGAATTGTCGGGCCGTTTTCCCTCTCTTGGGCCCCTCTTGAAGCCCCTATTGAGGCCCCTCTTGGACCCCTTTTGGGCCCGTCTTCGGGTCCTCTTGGGCGATCTTGAGCGCCCTTGGGCCGTTTTGGGGCTCTCTTGGGCCGTCTTGGGGCCCTCTTGGGAGCCTCTTGGGCCGTTTTGGGGGCGGTCTTGGGGGCCAATGGGACCACCGTAGCGTCGTAAGCTAGTAGTGCGATGTGCACGTTGTTGCTTTGAGAAGCCCTCTCGTTTTCTGTTGCCGCCCACAAGCAGCCTCTCTCTGCGGCTGCATGGGCTCAAGCTGCAAGCGGGCATGCAGCCGCATGGCCCGGCCAGCGCGTTGGGGGGCCTGATTGCGTTTCTCGTGGGCTTCGCCTCTCGGCAGGCGCTAGGCCCGGCGCTGGCTCCTGAGCCTGTGCCGCTGTGGCCCCGCCTCGGCCCTGGGCACGAGCTGGAGGACAGCTCAGGGACGTCGACGACGTCCAGCGAGGCGCCCGCCTGCGTCTGCGAGACGCCGAGCGTTCCGCCCGCGGCGCCGCAGCCCCTCCGGCTGCTGGGCGACGGGGTGGAGGCGACGCACGAGGTGCCCGTGCTGGGTCTCGGCGTCGGCGCTGCGCTGGCGGCGATCGGAGGCGGCTGGACCGCCTGGCGGTGGGCTGCTAGCCGCGCCTCAGCGCGCCGGGCTTGCGAGCCTCTGCGGGAGACGCGCATCCACGTGGCGTGATGGCGCTGGATGGTGCTACGCCAGGGACAAGGGTGCTGGTGCAGTACTCCGAGGATCCGGGCTGGTCGCACGAGCGTATCCTGTGCTGGCCGGCCTCAGAGGACAAGACGTCGTGGGTCATCTACACGGCCAGCAATGATCTGCACACGGAGTCGCTGGATGACTACTCGAGTGTAGTGATCATCACAGGCCGCCGCCGTTACCCGGCGGGGGTACGCAACGTGAAGGCCTTCAGCCGAGAGCTGCAGCCGGATGAGATCCTAGCGTTGGTGCGGCGCGGCCGCGGCGAGGCTGTGCTGGAGAGCGGTGCTAGGGCGGCCGACTGGTGGCTGGTCGCGGGCCAGTACTGGGAGGGGCGGCGCCTGGTGATCCCGCCGTTGGCGGCGGTCGAGGTGCCGCGAGTCCGTCGCAGGCGCCTTCGAGGCAAGACCGCCGCCGACGCTGCTGGCGCCGAGCCCGAGGTGCTGCCCATCGCCGACGAGGGTGAGGCAGCCCTCCGGCCGCCCGTTGAGCGGCCGCCTGGCGCGTGGCTGGCTGCCACGCTGGAGGATGCTGGCGGCTTCGGCAAGCAGGTCGAGCCCAGCGTGGCCGCAGTGCCGAGAGGCAAGTGCGGCATCGACCGCGACGAGGCTGGTGACTGGTTCCCGATCGAGCACGTCACCGATGAGAGCATTGCGACGTGGAAGGATGACAAGTTAGTGGCCGCCGACTGCTTGAGGCCGCCTCGCGGCCGCCTGGACGACAGGCTGTTCTCAGGAGTGACGGGCACTCGGGCGCCGCCCGGCGAACCGGAGGCCCACGAAGCCCAAGGTGAGCGTCGCGACGACGCCGAGGTGACCGAGGACCTCCGTACCTGCTGGATCGACGTGGACGAGACCGGAGAGCGCTTCAAGGAGTGGCGCAAGGTCGTGCAGGAGAGCACGCAGGAGGCGTTCACAGATTTATCCATTCGGGGCCCCCCCGCATGCCTGGAGGTGTGCCGGAAGATGTATCGCCACGGGGGGGGCCCGAAGTTTTGTTTCCAGGAGTGGTGCAAGGAGACGGGCATTTCTCGGTGAGAGTGCGCGTATCACGAGGTGCAGACCCTCATAGAGTGCCTGTACCTTTCCTGAACATTCTGCGGGGGTGTAGATCAGGGGGTTTAGATCGTAAAGGTTTTTGCCTATGGGGATGTCGATGATGATCATCGAATTCGTCACTGTGATCAATCCATCCGTTCGTCCATCTACCCATCCACATCCATCCTTTTACATGTGCGCCGCCATCAGAAATCGTCCATCCACCCAACCGCCCATCTACCCATCCACCCGCCCATGCGTATTCCCTCCATCATTTTTCGATGCCGTCTTCCACCCATCCTTCAATCCTGTTCTTCTTCCGCCCATCCTTCCATTGCCATTTCGGCCCCCTGGCGTCGCGCTGGCTCATCATCACCGAGAGTGGCGCAAGCCTCCTCGGATGTGGGTGCCTCACCCCGGCGGCGTGTGGGCGCCTCGCCCCGGTGCCTCACCCCCGCAGCCGCCGCCGC